AATATCATGTGCATAATAAATCTTTCTTTCTATCTTGAACAGTACCAGTTTGAACGTATCGCTTCAAAGATTAAGGGCAACTGTAATACGTTGCATGCGAGTAACCTCAAATTTATTTAGTGTCTCAATTTAATTAAGTTGGCACTCTCACTCTCTGGCCTGCCTTATGATGTATGTATAGATGATTGTGGGTTCATATAGTATTCCTCACAAAATCCTTAAACAAGGGTCACAAAAAGAAACCTTTACGCTACATGAACAAATCCGCTTGCCTATTATTCATTTCCGCGGCAATATGAACTAAAGAACATCCAATATAATAGAATATAATCTGCTGAATTTCTCACTCAATCTGGCTTTATTTTTCCTGTTATGTAGCGTGTTGTTTTTGTTCTGACGTCATTAAAAAATCGATTTTTTTTAGAAAAATGTGCTTACTATTTCTGATTATTTTGTCGGGTGACTTATGTTCAAATATTTGACGCAGTAATATATTGCAAATTTAAAGTCTTTCATTGTACTCAAATCGAATTATGAAATAAGTGAAAATAAAATTGTAAAAAATTTGTAATGCAAAAAAAATATTATTGATGAAAATTACATTTTCTCGTTTTTAAAGAAAATGACATTGCTGATTTTTTATATATGGTCTTTTGTTAGTTTATGTTCTAATTGACATAAATGAACAAAAAATGGGGTTCACCGTGCATCTTTTTCAGTTCTACAATCTTGGACAAAACCCTTGAGACCATTCCAGCTAATATAACAAAGTTATTGAAGATTGACAAACCAACCTTTGTCTCCCCCAACCCCCCAGTTCAATGTAGTAAACAACACCGAAACAACTTTTGGTAATATACCATGACGCAAGCTCAACATTAGGGACCTTTATAGTTAGCAGGATGGCAACGGCCATTAATACAATAAAATTTATGACAGTGTAGAAAGAAAATGCATAATTAAAGGCCCCTTGGGAGTTTTAGACGTCGTCCTTGCTCTGTTTACAACAGCAAAACAAAAATTTTCACGTTTTGTATACAACGTCTGCCTTTCAAGCAGTAGAAGCTTTCTCGACTATAAACCTCTTTCTTAACCTTCTTAAACTGCAATAAATTCGTACTGTAACAACGGATAATACAAGACATGTTGTTGTGAAAGTTACTTATGGCCACATAAAATAAATTCCTTGATTCTCATCACCGCCCGACTGTATTTTAAGAGACGCGTGAAATTTTTTTATATTTTGTTATACAATATAAATGAACCGCCCGACAAAATATTTCAAGACAGTTAAGTTTTTTATATTTAAAATTGGGTTTTTAGTGCCATTTTAAACTGCCAATTTCAAACAAATAGAACCTTGAAAGAAATTTCATTGCATTTTAACGGAACTTCGCATTCAGTTGAACGGTTCAGTCATTGTTCGTGGAGAAATCTGTTCATTTTGGTTTGTGACACTTCACTTTGGAAATCACAGAAATATTAAATGTTAGGAATTATCAGTTTTTTATTTATTGATGATAAATTATATAAATATAAAATATAAAATATAAACCTCCCGGCTCTTCGACATTTTCAAAGTCTAGTGATGAGAATCAAGGAATTTATTTTATGTGGCCTATTTGAACGAGTTTATTTTGGCCGTCGTCGTCGCGTTGCCGTCACCTATTTGCTAAAGGTCCCTATTGAGTTGGGGGAGCGGGGGCTTAAGAAGAGCAACGTGATTCAACACGGTGTTTATCATAAAAATATGCAAATTTTCTATAAAGGGAAAATACTATAGTCTCAATCAGTTATTCCCAAGATTGTGGCTACTCCAATGGGCTATTATATCAAATTGGAATACCGATGAACTATCCGTTACCAAAACTTCCATAATTTGAAATTGTCAAATGTTGTAATCTTAATTCCTTTCCCCTCCTTTCTCTCTTCCACAATGGGCCGCAAAAGTGTCTTTCTTCCTTTGTCCGCAAATCTAATCTAATAGTCCGCGTGTTGTGACCCGATATCGTTCACTTTCATGAAGCATGTCTTAGATCTG